ACTTCTCCAGCGCCTGCATATAATTCCAGAAGCAGCGGCGTTAACAGAATTTCTGCCTCGCTTCCTCGCGAATCTGGCCGTGAATCTCTAGCGGAGACATCGTCGGAGTTAATCAGACACGTCTTGGATGGGTGAGGAGGCCGCGAGCGTCCAAAATTACCGATCTACTCTTCGGACTCGCTCAGCCGCAGGTGAGGATGGAGATGGCGAAGTTGCCGCCGCACCCCATGTTTGGGGCTGAAACTCGATTTTCCGGTCACTGGTTGATATGCGACGGCGTGTGGACAGACAAGAATATCGTGGGGAACGACGAATGGTAGGAGGTGGAACGCCGACTGATCGGGAAGAGGCCGATGAGAACCATTAAGGGACACGGTATTTTGAATATATTTACCTAGGGACATGCTTTGGGAATTTGACAATTTTTAGGTATTTAATTGAAATTTTGCAATTTTATTATTTTACAATTTAGTTTATGGGTCAAAATTATAATTTATCAAAATTTTAAAATTGCAAATTCATGTTCAGTGCAATTGTTTAAAATTGCACATTAGTGGCTGACAGAATGCACAATATTGTTATACCAAATGCACATTAATGCATAGGAAAATGAACATTATCACAACGGTGTGCATTTTTCGGATATATAAAAATTTAGTTTGTTATGTCCGATTCCAGCTTTAATTTAAAAAGAATATAATAACATAATTGATCGAAATATATAAAAATTTATATTTTATATCACATATATATATTATTTATTTCAACAAACAATAATATAAAATATTAAATAAACAATAAACACTAAATATATTTTTAGTATAATATTCTAAAAATGAAATGCACATAAAAAAAATATTCGCTAAATCGATTGCACAATAATATTATATTACATGCACATTACTGTCTAATGAAATGCACATCGTTAATTTTGGTATTTTATATGTATTTACAATAATAACTAATGTAAATATATTAAATAAAACTATTCAAATATTAAATAATTTTTTATAATATAAAAAAAAATCATTTAGAATAAAAATGGTAATTTGGTTAACTGGTTGTATAAAACATGCATTTTAGTTCGGTTTTAATATGTTGGAGCAAAAGTTTGATCGACACCAACGCACAATAGCAACTGAAACACTGCACATTAGTGTTAGACATATTGCACATTAATGTATGAACGGCACATTAGCAATCAAAACTGAAATAGCTATATTTTTTATGTCTGAATTTATGTATTTCAATTATTTTTAATTTTTAAGTTATTTTAACTTCGATAGTTTCAACTGAAATAAAATTATTTATATAGTTTTAAAAATTATATATTTCAATTATTTTGATCAAAATTGAAATAACCGAGCTATATGAAAATTATTATTATTATTATTATTATTATTATTATTATTATTATTATTATTATTATGATTTTATATATTTTTATGTATTGCGAGTACACATTATTATTATATTGATGGCACATTAATGACAATACGATTGCACAATATAAAAAATCAACCAAACTAAAAACTCTAGTTCCAATTTTTTATAATTCGATTCAATTATTAGTTTTATTATTTTTCTACTTTTAGAAACTCAGGTATTTCAGTATTGAAGTCACCTTTATTTTTTAAAATAACTGAAATAACCGAACTATATAAAAATTACCATTATTATTATTATTATTATTATTATTATTATTATTATTGTTGTTGTTATTATTATTATTATTATTATTATTATATTTTTATCTATTGTGAATCCACTTTATTTGTCATTGTTGTGCATTTAGTATTCCTTATAAATTATATATATAACCCATGAACTAAATTGTATATATTTAAGATTTTTAAAAATTGCATATAAGTCCTTGCCCCTTATCTAATTTACAAAATTTAGCCCAATCCCAATTCATTTCAGAACGCCATGTCTCTTGACAATCGTCAGCCCCGCCGGACCACCGTGCAGCTGCACGTCATCACCTCGCTCGACTAGATTCCGACGCCAAGTCCGGCTGCGACATCACAAACTCCCTCAATTAAAAGGTCTGGTCAATCCCGCCGAAAGAGTGAGCCCTAGCCCGCCGGCTGCGCAATCGAAAAATTTGCCCTTGAAAATTCAGATAGACGTCGTATTTGAAGGTCGTGAGGTTCTTTAACCTTCAGATGGTCCTCTGGATCTCGTCGAGGAACCACCCGCCAGATCCGAGACCGGTGTAGGTGCTCGATGCTCGATGCTCGATGGAATATCGATTTTTTACGGATACAGCCTTCGAGCAGATGTTGTGGTCGTACCTCGAGACATACAGTGACGACGGCAGACATATGGTGGGAGACGGCGGAGGTCGGAAATGGGAGTTTTGTGGTGAACTGCCGGCGGGTCTATGGTGGTGGTAGCAGAGTTGATTGAGGATGGCATCGGCAACGAACTGTGGAGACGGTATTGATGTAATCGGCGGGGCTGTTCGTGGTCGACGACGGTAGGCGGAGTAGGACCGTTCGTGGAGATGGCGGCGGCCGTCAGTCGCCGGCGAGGGTCATGCGGTTCATATCTCGCGTGTGTGTGTTTGTATGAATTGAGTGGTTGCGCCTGGGTTGGTGTCAGCGGCAACGGGACACGGTTGCTCTCGCCGTGAATCCCAGTGCATCAGCGACGGAATATGGTGTCTACGGCGAGGCTCATGGTGGCGGAATAAGGTGTCTACGGCAAATTGAATCTGTTTGTGCGTAATAGACAGAGAGAGAGGAAAGAGAATGAGTGGGAAGAGAGAGAAAAGAGAATTAATGGGATGGAGATGGTGTGTGGGGCCCACAATGTGAGCTGTCAATCTGAGTATTTGACACTATTGCCCTTCTACCCACGTGTATGACCTGAATATTCTGTCGTAATTACGAATATGCCACCATTTATTTATCACTAATTCAAATTCTGTTGATTCCATCTACACCGCTGAAACGCGAGATCCTATGGTGGAAAGTAATTCTCATTTCTTTCATTGTTTTTTTATTCTCATTTGAACTCATTTCTCCATATATATATATAGGGGGCGGATCAAATGGGACCAGCTCTTAGCAACTACAGACAACTAACCTAGCAACTACAGAGAACTCACCTAGCAAATACAGACAACTAACCTAGCTACTAATAACCTAGCAACTACAGAGAACTAACCTAGCAACTACTAACTTAGCAACTACAGAGAACTAACCTAGCAACTAACCTATTTGGTGGGTAGGGATATATGAGTCCAAGTGGCAAAAAATGTGGGAGCATTTTGCTACTTGGACTCATATATCCCTACCCACCACATACAATTTTTTTGAGCTCCTGAGTTTTTTCTCACAGAGCATACACCTTAGACACGTGGGCTTCCTCATTCCTTGTCTGATCCTTTGGTTCACCTGGACAGAAAGGAATAGTGCGAAGCATAGGGATATTACTTTTATGTTTTCTCACATTGTTTTGCAGGTAGAGAGACACATTTCACTCCTCATCGCATTGGGCAGGCTCACGGCCCGAGACTGGACAGGCTGCACGCCACCGCCTCGCTACATGGTGGCCCCACCACCGCTTGTTCGGCCTCCTCGGGCCAGAGCTGTTGTTTGGCTTTGACCTGACTCTCCGTGGGTCAAGCTGAACACTGATGGATCCTTTGACCGTCACACTGGAGTTGCCGGAGGAGGAGGCTTGATTCGGGACCATAGCGGCGCCCTCATCACCGCCTTCCACGCGTCCATTCAGGCCTCCTAGAGCTACGACGCAGAGATTCAGGCACTACAGATTGGCCTTCAGATTGCTGTCCACCTCTCTAGTCATATATGGATCGAGTTGGATGCTGCAGCTGTCGCCACCCTCCTGACTTCGGGACATCAGGGCTCGTGGCAGATTCAGCACACGCTTATGCGCATTAGAGATCTACTTCGGTCAGTCGAACACAGGATCACGCACATTTTCCGTGAGGGGAACAGACCTGCTGACTACCTGGCCAGCCTTGGCGCCACCATACCAGACACACATACATTTCAGACCGACGCTGCTCCACTACGCCTTCGCACTCTTGTACGGATGGATCAGCTTGGATATCCAGCGTTCCGCTTTCACTAGTTTAGGATTTCTATTGTCATCAGTATAGACATTTTTTCGGGCATCTGTTAGCCCGAAGACCGACTTTGTTTTGTAGTTTCTGTTCCTTTTTCATTTTTTGGCTTTTCTTTTTTGTTTTTCCTTTTGGTTTTGTCATTGATTGTGAGACTCTGTAGACTTTTGTATCTTGTTCGTTGATATTTTGGGCTCCCGATTTTGGGGCCCAGATCTATGCACAGGTTGGGGATCCAGCCCAATCCCTCGCCCTTCCGGGGCGTTGTTGTTTAAAAAAAAAACCTAGCAGCAATAAAGAAATAACCTAGCAACAAAAGACAATTTGCAATAAGAAAGAACTAACCTAGCAACAAAACACAACTAACCTAGCAACAAAAAACAACTAACCTAGCAGCAAGAAAAAAATAACCTAGCAACTTAAGACAACTAACCTAGCAACAAAACTCAACTAACCTAGCAGCTGTTGTTTGGCTGCATGCCAGAGCTGGACAGGCTGCACGCCACCGCATCGCTACATGGTGGCCCCACCACCGCCTGTTCGGCCTCCTCGGGCCAGAGCTGTTGTTTAGCTTCGACCTGACTCTCCGTGGGTCAAGATGAACACTGATGGCACCTTTGATCGCCACACCGGAGTTGCCGGAAGAGGAGGCTTGATACGGGACCACAACGGAGCCCTCATCACCGCCTCCCACGCGTCTCTTCAGACCTCCTCGAGCTACGATGCAGAGATTCAGGTATTACAGATCGGCCTTCAGATTGCTGTCCACCTCTCTAGCCATATTTGGATCGAGCTAAACGCTGCGGCTGTCGCCACCCTCCTGACTTCGGGCCACCAAGGCTCGTGGCAGATTCAGCACCCGCTTATGCGTATTAGAGCCCTACTCCGGTTTGTCCATCACAGGATCACGCACATTTTCCGTGAGGGGAATAGACCTGCGGACTACCTCGCCAGCCTTGGCGCCACCACACCACACTCCCATACATTTCAGATCGACACTGCTCCACTCCGACTTCGCACGCTTGTACGGATGGACCAGCTTGGATATCCATCTTTCCGCTTTCAGTAGATTAGGCTTTTTGTTTTCTTTAGATTAGACTTTTGTTTCCGGGCACCTGTTAGCCCGAAGACAGACTTAGTATTATTTTTCTTTTCTGGTTTTTCTTTAGTTGTTTTTGCTTTAATTGTCAGACAATGTAGACTGTAGTATGTTGATATTTCGGGCCCCAAATTTGGGGTCTTGATCTATGTACAGGTTGGGGATCCAGCCCAATCCCCCGCCCTTCCGGGGCGTTGTTGGTTTAAAAAAAAAAACTAGCAACAAAACTCAACTAACCTAGCAGCTACAAATAACTAACCTAGCAACAACAAACAACTAACCTAGCAAGAAAGAAATAACATAACAAAAGACAAATGGTCAACGGTCAACGCCGGAAGTCAACGATCAACGTCAGAAGTCAGCGATTTTTGCCGAAAGTCAATGCTGGAGTCAACGGTCAATGGTCATAATAATATTTAAATAATTAAAAATAAAGAATTATTATTTAAATCAAGATATAAATCTTGTAGCTATAAATGAGTCTCACGTCCTCACTTTAAATATGCGGATGCATTTGAACCAATTCCTATTTATATGTATATATGTAGAGAGAGAGAGAGATGTTTTAAGAGAAGAAATCAAGAGTCATAAGCATACCATTCTTTACTGTCACCAAAAAATGTCTTAGACCTCCTGCATTTAAATAATCTTCAAATTAGAGACAAAATCCTAAGGACCGATTATAGCATGGTCAATGCGCATCCAAGTTTCTATGAAAATTTTAAATACATCTCATTTCGTACACTAAGGTCCAGCTCGAGTTCAACAACTCACAAACATGAGATGTACAAATTTATGTCATTTGAATACACCAATTGTCTATGCTACAAATCCCAAGGGGATCATATAATCATCTATGCAGAGATATATAATAATGCGAAGGCAATAAATATTCTAAACTTCACGAAACAGAATCGACTTCTTGAGAAGCAGGAGCTGTGTACTTGAGGATGGCTTCGAGTATTCGCTTTTTATCTCTGGTCGGGAATGCTTCCAACAAGAATCCATTTTTGTAAAAATGGAAAAGCGGAACAGTCTGCATCAAATTTCTCGACTTTCAGACCACTTATATTGAAGCTTTAAAGGAAAATTCTAACTTCTACAAGTACCTGGGGAATTTGGACAGAAAAAGCTGTTCCAGAAGGTATTATCGAAAGAGAGAAGAAAAATTGGATTATACAAAAATGAGCAGTCGAAGGACATGGGATATATAAGATGCATATATTTGTTTCCACTTCATATCCACGAAATCCAACAAGCTTCCATAATAGATAAATTTCACAGTCTAATGGTTAAGTTATTTTCGATTTCCATTTTGTTCCGCATAAAAGATCGTGCCGGGTACCGTAATTCATATCCACAGACTGCTATCTTAGACAATTCTGAAGGAATAAAAAATGATTTGCAACAAAATCTCCAGAAGAGAAAATAAAATAATATAAAAGTCATTATTACCCTAATTCGAAGCCTTTCAGCAACCTCAGACCGTTCATCATATTCATCAAGAACCTGCAGTGTTCACAAAAATGATAGTGAAAATAAATATGACTAAATTTAAGAAGAAAAAAAAAACCTTGAATCATAATAAGATGTAAAATCAATTTTACACATAATAATATCAAATAACATTTCCACCATATACTCACATTGTGTTTTAGAAAAATAACTGGAGCTTCTTGGTCACCAGCACCCTTGCATAGTTTGACAAAACCCTGCTCTATATACCGACAGCTCCCACATGAAGTTTTATAAAAATCCACCACAACTAATGCATTCATTTCTTTTGCTTTCTCCAAAATCCCAAAAAATTCCTCATCCGTCTTAAACTCTCTTACACAGTCAATGGGACAAAGCCCATCATCCTCATCAAATAATTCTTGAACATTTTGATCTATCGTACTTTTGATTTTTATAGTACTTTTAGTTCGACATTGAATAGTTGCCTTTAGTTGGCTCGAATTTACTATAGTTCTAACTGGAAATAAATTTTTAAATGATGTGTGATTCTCAAAATCAATCAGTACATTGTTTTCCCTCACAAAGTTTCGGAACCATGTCTGATGAAAAACACTTGACTTCTGCATTATAAAACCAAACACAGAAGTGATGCCCAAGTCTGCACAAGGTTGTATACTGATGTTTTTTCAGAAGATATTTACCAAATTTTCTATGTTGTATGACTAGAAGACACAAAACTCTTCTTCATATCACCTTAGCAATGTTATCCATAAGCTTAAACGGCCATCCAGAGAACCAACAAAGTATTCCACGATTTCAGTAAGTAATCTGTTCATTAAAACAAAATATAAAACATCAAAAGGCATTCAATTGGAGGCTCAAGCAAATGCATATCCTATAAATTGATAACCGATACATTAAAAGCTCAACTCTATTACGCTAAACTGAGGGAACTTCAGAAGAAAAATCTTAAAAAGTTTGACGATAAGTTGTAAGGTTTAATTGAAGCAAACTGTCTCATTTTCAGTATCTTAGCATAATTTCTTTTGTTCATATCCAGAACTACTCTGAACACATACCTGTGAAGACAAAACAGGAAGAAGTTCACATTGTAATGAGCTTGAAAATTCGCACTTATAATTCAATCAAACCACAAATATGATTTCCTCTACTGTTCGAAAAGTTCTTAGTGAGGTACATCAGATGAGCTAGTGTAAATTAATTTAGGGCTATGTTATGACTATATTATCGAATAGCATATTGTACTTCTAGTTTCAGTGATACATTGCAATTTGCTCGACTTTATGTAACCCACAGTCACAATAGTTCTGTGTTTGACAAAATTGATTTTGTATGAAACAAGCTGTTTAAAATCAAAATATGGCAGCTGGACATTGAATAAGAAAAAGCTTGGAGGAGAAACTGTTCAAATGCTTTATATTGTGTAATAACCAAATCCAAATAAAGGATCTAAAGTACCCGATGGCACGCATATCAAATATGATTATATGAAGCACTATCAGAAGCTTCCTAGATTTGCCAAATAATTACTACATTGTATTTGGTTTAGGTGCACGCTAATATGCAATAAAAAAACTTGGCTGAAGTAGTAAAGATTATTTCCACAAACTGAACAGATTATGGTTGGAGTCGATTATTCATAATGTTCCAATCCTAATAATCAAACAAGAATCGTGGGTAAATATCACACTAGTACCTTGTTTCCTGAAATCACACGAGTCTACAAACGCAAGAAGCAGATTTCTAACTTCAAATCAAACGGAATAGGGAAGGAATTAAACAGGAAGCATAGGAATTCCAGCAGCCAAGGAATAATAAACAAAATATAGAGATTATAATGAGATCAGCGCCAGAACGACGAGATAGTTAAAGATTAAGGAAAGAGTTACTTACTCTGGTTATGTTTTGGATAACAAAAGTAACACGAGTGGCCATGGTTATTCGTCGCGGAACAAAGTTGGAAGCTTTTAACGATGTACTTTAGAATATGCTTTTAACCAGCAGTATGATTTTTTTTTTAAAAAAGAAATTACTCTCTAAACTTTAACTTATGTATATTTTTGGTGGTCATCTTTTATACAGTCTTTCTTTCACACATTATCCCATAAAAAAATATTTTTTTCCCTGCAAACCTCACGAAATGATTTGCAATATAAAAATCGCATATCCAAATGAACAGCATAAATATTTTCTCATCTTTCTCTCCTTGCTTGAGAGTTCTTCTCCCCGATGAGATCTTCTCTCCTTGATTGAGAGTTATTCCTCCTTGGAGCTTTCATCTTCCATTTGGGAGTTTCCTTGAATGTGCGACTAATTAGTGGATCCCTTTGAAAATGGAGGAAGAACTAGGGCAACAATTGGACAAATGTTCCATATCAGAAATCGAAGATGCGGTCATTGATATTGGAACAACGGATGTGAAATTTAGTCTCGAAGAATGCCAAAGAAGTATATTCGAAAAGATTGTAGGATAGCGTAAAGCTAATTGGGTGGGCATTAAACGCACAATGAGCTATCTATGGAAATTAGGTAATACACTGGAAGTTAGGGAAATCAGTCATAACTTTTTCCAGTTTCTCTTTCACAGACGTGAAGACCTCCTCAAAGTAGTGGAAGGAAAGAGCTGGATTTTTTAGAATCAACACCTGATTCTAAAAAATGGATAGAAGGCATCTCGGCTTAACATCCAATTTTTGACGAAATCACTCTTTGGGTTCAAGCGCATGGGATACCAGTTCATTAGATTAGCACTGAGGTGGGTCTGAAATTGGAAAAAGCGTTCAAATCTGTGAAACATGTTAATCTAGCCAAGGCCGATGGGCAAGGAGAGAGAATAATCAGAATCCAAGTGGGCATTGATCTAAAAGAGCCCCTACCACGATGGACAAAAATCAGATTGGGAGAACAAGTGGTAACAATCCAATTCCAGTATGAAAAGCTTTAAGCTTCTGTTACTATTGTTGTAGGTTGTGATACACTGACAGGAACTGCAACAAAAAGGACGCAGACTTGATAAACAATGCTCTTAATGAGGGTCTCTTTGATGAGTGGATGAAGGCTCTTGATGGCACTATCATATCTAGCTCCTCTACACACAGCACCCAGTCACAGCCAACAGAGGAAGGGCTCAATAACCAAGGAACCTCAACCATGGGCAGTCAGGACCCATCTTCCCCTTCACGGGATTTCAATCACAACATTCATCCAAGCATTCAACCACTACTGAAAATTAACCCTGTTGCAGAACAAGGACTACAATGAGTTGAAGAATCCTCAACATCCTTTCACTTCACCAACCAAACTCCTAAAGGCAAAGAAATTGCTGCAGTGTTTAACCCTAATCCAGAGAGCAACTCTAGCACACAACCATATTCAGGAAGTCAAGAAATTATTTTGGGAACCAATTTGGCAATGCAGGTGGATAGCAGTCAAAAACCCAAAGTTCTGAACCCAAAAACCAGTTACTGGGAAAACATGGAAGAGAGCTGACACTAAGGTGGGCATGTTGGCCAGAAACCCTGTTGAAAAATAGGTTAATTCAACTACTCAGAGACAGAAAAGAGCTCAAGATGGAATTATTAACAATGACAATAAAGCTCTCAGCTCAGCTATCAAAGATTCCAAGAAGCAAAAGCTATCAGAGTCAGAAAAGAGCTCAAGATGGAATTATTAACAATGACAATAAAGCTCTCAGCTCAGCTATCAAAGATCCCAAGAAGCAAAAGCTATCAGAGTCAATGGTGGAGGAAGCCAGCCTTAAATGGCCCCAACCTGATCAATGAATGTTATTATGTGGCCATGGTGTGGAACTGCCGAGGTCTGGATGGACCCTCGACAGTCTCCCAGATAAGAGAGGTAATCATATCTCACAACCCAAATTTATCTTTCTCTCAGAAGTAAAAAAACAAAAAGAGTTTGCAATGGAAGTTTGCAGCAAGTTAGGATTTGAAGATAGAATCTGTTTTGTGGATCAGCTAGGGTCTAAATGGGGTCTTATGTTGTTATGGAACAATAAACCTAATGTTTTGAAGATCAAAAGCTCTGATTTCTGTATCCAAATTCAGTTCTCCATGCCCAGTTCAGATGAGATATGCTGGATCTCCTTTGTATACATGAACATTGACAAAGCAATCAGAATCGATCAATGAAAAATGATTGTGAAGGATAGGAAAGAATGGGGTGATAGCTGGCTAATACTGGGAGACTGGAATGACATTCTCAACAAGAAGGACAAAAAAGGAGGCAGGGTGAGAGCAGAATCCAGTTACATGGGTTTCCTAAATTTCATCTCAGCTATGGGAATGGATGAAATACCACTGACAGGCTACAAATATACTTGGGGCAATAACAGAGCTCTAGAAGGCTATGTAGAGGAAAAACTGGATAGAGGTTTTGGATCCCTGCACTGGATGGCTAACTTCCCACAAGCCCATGTAACTAATATCTTCAAAAGTGCATGAGATCATGGAGTGTCATTGCTAGATGATAAAGTGCAATCAGTGAAAAAATCCAAACGGTTTATCTTTGATAAAAGATGGCTCAGCAGAGAAGGATGTAAAGATGTGGTTCACTAAGCATGGTATGCTCCTCAACAGGGACACCCTTCTTCATGCTCAAAGAACATGTCAAACAAGCAAGAATGGCCCTTTCTAAATGGAGTAAGCTATTCAGAGCAGAACATAAGGAAAAGGTGCAGAACCTCACTTTAAACTGGAGGAGATAAGACCACTTGGGGAATGCAAAAACTGGGATGCATGGGAAGCCATAAAAAAAGAACTGGAGCAGGCTCAAACCTCTGAATAATTATACTGGCAGCAAAAATCCAGATTTCAATGACTAAAGGAAGGAGATAAAAATTCTAGCTTCTTCCATGCATACACAATGCAAAGAAGGAAAAGGAATGCTATCTCCAGACTTATAGATGGCCACAACAATAGCTGTGAATCCCAGGAAGACATTGCTAAAAAAATCTCCTCATTCTACCAGCATCTTTTTACCTCTGAATGATCTCAAGGGGCTACAGATATTATCAATAACATTCCTAGAACCATTACTGATGAGATGAATGAGCAGCTGACCCATCCTATCTCAGAAGAAGATGTGCAGAGAGCATTGTTCCAATTGATTCCCCTAAAACACCTGGAGAGGATGGAATGACTCATCTATTCTATCAGCACTTTTGGCCTATAATTAAAGAGGATTTTTGTTCAGCAGTCCTCAGCTTCTTCTCTTCAGGGCAAATCTTAAAATATTGGTACCACACCCTTGTAACACTGATTCCCAAATGTCTAAATCCCTACTCCATCACTCAGTACAGGCCCATAAGCCTATGTGGGGTAGTTTACAAAGTAATTTCGAAGATTCTGGCCAACAGATTGAAGAAGTGTCTCAACAGCTATATTAGTAAATCTCAAGGAGCCTTCTTATCTGAGAGAAGCATCCTAGATAACATCATAATTGCCCAAGAAGCTTTTCATTACCTCAACAGGCATTGGTCTGGCCCACACTGTTTTATGGCTCTCAAGTTAGACATGTTGAAAGCCTTTGATTGAGTAGAATGGAGCTGCATCAGAGATATCATGGCAAAAATGGGTTTTTACAATGCTTTCATCAAATGGATCCTTGCTTGTATCACTTCCACTACCTTCTCATTTCTTGTCAATGGGGCATCTGTGGGTTACATTAAGCCTTCTAGGGGTTTGAGACAGGGCGATCCCCTGTCTCCATACCTTTTTCTCTTAGTCACTGAAGCTTTCTCATCTCTTATCCATTCGGCATTGGAGATAGTTCATTCAAAGGGTTAAGGACTGCAAGAGGAGGACCAACCCTCTCCCACCTTCTATTTGTAGATGACTCCTTAGTCTTTTGCAAAGCTGAGGCCAACCAAGCAAATCTATTGAAGACCATTCTCATCAAATACCAACATTTCTCTGGGAAAAAGGTCAACATGACCAAATCTTCAACCTTCTTTAGCAGGAACACATCTGTCATGTACCCGATATAGAATTAGATTAAAATTTTACTTAGTTATTTTATATTAGTTTATGGTATGATAGGTAATGAGCTTGGGCTTGGGCTTGGGTTTTAGCTTTTATATTGGTAGGTTAATATTGTTGGGCTTTTGTAAGGAAATTCTATAAGTATGTGTAATGTGGGAAAAAGAAGAGGAAGAAGTTACATCACAAAATTCTAGTCTCTAATATTTTGTCTCATCAATATTCTCTCCATCTCTCTCACGTGTTCTATGCTCCCTCCCCAATTTCTCCCTTTTCCCTCTGCAGTTTTACTTCTTCTCACAAATAAACCAGAAAAATATACAAAAATTCAGAAAAATCCAAGTTCATAACAATCGCTATCAAGAGCGGTCGATCCTCGGAAGATGGCTGATGAATTCATCCTCGATTGTTTGGAGCTGCAACAAAAACATATGGAGCAAAAATTAATGGTGGAAAACGAAAAAAGAGAGGCTAGCCATTTGAAGATACAAAGCCCAATTGATGGGTTCAAATTAAGCATTCCTGGGTTCAAATCAGATTTTCAGGTGCAGATGCTTGGATTGAATAAAAAATTAGATCAAGCCATTCAGGTAGCTGAATCCATTCAACAACTCATTTTCAATCTTCAAAACAAAAATCAGAAAACGAATCTCCCAGCTCAATCGTACCCAACACAAATTCTTACCCAATCAATCTCCACTCCAAACCCTCTAAACTCTCAGCCATTTTTTCATGAAATTCAGAAGAAAAATCCAAGGCCAACTTCAAGTGAAAATCAACAACAAAACACCACAACCCAGAAACCAAACAATTTAGAATCGCATCTCATTTTTCACGAAATTCATGAAGAAAAGACTGAAGAACATGAAGGCTCAGTGTTGATCCAAAAACCGATCG